GTCCGGTGCTCAGGTATCTTTTCGTATCTTTTATTCCAGCTACTTCACAGGGATGACTCAGTGTCTTGGATGGGCATGTACGCACTTTGAGAATCTTCATGTGTCTCCTCTTCTGTTTGGTCCTTTGTTCTTGGGTAATTCTTAGACTTTTCATAGCACGAGCTGGGCGTAAGACCCCTCAGCACAGATCAACTGGATTTTTACATACATTAATGTCCTGTTATGTCAGTAACATCAGCTGCCTCACTTTGTTAGCTTTCTATTTCTCTTAGTCTCTTTAATCATGCTTTACCAATTTAGCTCAGTTTTAAAGTTTTGGCAGATGGTGTAAAAGTCCCTAAATAACTAGGTAAGTATCCTCGTAAGACATTATCCTCCCCGGTCACGTTACCTCTTTGTGCGGTGGAATAACAGCTATGATTTTGGTTCGTGATGTGGACATGAACTGCATTAGTTAGCAATACTTTGAACGTTGGCTCTCTCACCCACGGCATTTTTGGAGAGGATTGCTTTTTCAGGCCGCCAGGAGAATATGAAAATTCCTTATACATCCTGAGCTTCCTGCACAGCGTCTGAAGTATTCCTTTCTTTGGCAGTTCTAGTGGAAACATGTGAGGGAAAAAGTGACTTTCCCGTTCTTCTCTATCAGAAGGTCATTGCTTCTCATATAATGAACACTTTGTAGGTCAAGAGACACTCAGAGAGTAGGCAGAACTCCTGATTCCCTTTTCCTGGTAACTTAGGGCAAAATCAGATGTTTTATTAGAGAGGTTTCCTTCCCTGCATGCCCCAGTCAATCTGTCCTGCTCTGTGGTTCCCTACAGTTAAGCAAGTAGTCTCACCACTCCACCCTCCACCCTGCCATCAACTTTAGAACATTCATCCCTGAAGTCAGCTTGCCAGGTTTTTCTTCTTTCCAACAAGACTCTTACATTCTCCACCAAAATCCTTTTCTCTGTGGGTTCTGGACACCTAATAAGAGGCGCAGTCACATTTGTAATGACTGTAAAAGTGATTATAATTGTCCCTGTTTTAACCAGGAGGGTGGTGGAACATTCTAGTCACTTTCTTATTTTAGGTAAAATGTGAAGTATGAGGCAAAACAAGTTGAGCCAGCTGGTAAGAATGAATTACCGGCTTTCTGGAAGGAGACTCTTCTCGAAACCTGGAGGGGAGTGTGTGTATGTCTTGTTAGTGTACCTCTGAAGATGTGGTCCCAGGAAAGTCAGGAGGAGCTGCGAGCGTGTGGTCCACATCCCTCTGGCCATCCCCCTCTGTGTTTCATGCCGTTTAGTAGTTTGGGTGTGGGGGTGAGTTCTACTATTGGGTTTCATGTTGTGGAGACCAGTGAATCTTAATGAGACATAAATGAAGAAGCACTAGGACACCTTGGAGCCGTTCACAGATATCTCAAGTGTGGGGAAAATTCATGTAGAGGACTTCAGGGTTCTCCTAATTATTGCTTGAAGAGCTCAATTTCTATTGAATCAATGGTGAAAAGGTTTCTTGTTTGATATTCTTTTCGCTGAAGTGCTTGTTATGGGTCATTCATTTTGAAAACATTCATTATTGATTTTGCCTGGCTGGTTTTCAAACCATGTGTGGTGAAGCCGTCAGCTTCTGTGATGGTGCCTGGGAGGTGCTGAGGGAAAGGTCAAGGGGACCCAGTCTGGGTCTCTCAGTATTGCTGCCACCAGCACTAGTCTACCTGCTCTCTTTCGTCCAGTGGTGGTATACTTACGATTTTGTTTTTATAAAATTCCATTGCCTTAAAAGCATTTGAAAGCCGTCACATTGGGGAGCTAATGTTATTCTATACAGGAAAATAAATCACTTCTTTGTGAAGAATTACTTTGGATTGTTCACATCTCAAAGAGATGAAATATGTTAACTTCTTTCCTCCGTCTTAGTTGCAAGTACTGCCTTGATTGGAATGCTTGGAATTTTTTTTTTTTAAAGAAAACAGAACTCTGCTCTGTAAAAAAGTTTTTATGTTGTAACAATATTTATATGTAATGTATATTTTAAATTCATATATATATATATAAATTTTAAGCCACATTATTGAGGTATGATTGACAGACAAAAACTGTATATATTTCATGTATATAACTTGATTGGTTGGGATATAAGTAAACATCTATGGAAATATATAATGCCTGTAGCTAAAAGTACTGTATCACGTACTTAAAAATTTGCCAGGGGTAGATCTTATGTTAAGTGCTCTTAACACACATACACACAGATATGCACACAAAATAATGATAAATAAAGGAGACAGGAGGAAACTTTTGGAGGTGACGGATATTTTCATGTTTTTACAACTTTGATTTCATAGCCAAAGTCACGTAACTCACAAACTAAGGAGTAAAAACTTATGTATATGGCACAAGACAAGATTATGTTTCAGACGGCCTTGATTCACACGACTTCTAGTCCTGCCTTCAAAAGAAGACTATTTCGAAGAGATAACCTTCTAAGAGATATCCAATTATGTCTTCATTTTTCGAGTTCATTGGCCCATTAAATCCCTTCTTCTATAAATGACTTTCTTGAAGGACACCTACTCTCTTTCTGGGTTGGAACAGCAGGATTTATCTGTTCTCAGCAGCTTCCTCTGAATGGGCTGTTGGTGTAATTGACATTTGTGCTGTGGGATGTTTCTGGCCTGTGTCATTTCCCATCTTCGCTACTCAGGAAGCACTTACTGGCGACATTTCTTCTTGTTGTTTAACTTGGAATTTCTCTTTTTGAGGGGGAAAGTAGTTCAGAATATGATATATGAGCAATATTTGGAAAATGGAGGTGAGAAGAAGATGAAAAGACATCATTGATAAGATGATGTGTGTTTTGAACAGGAGAGTCTTGGAGAAGAAAACAGGTGACAGTTGTGTGAGCATAAACTAGGAACAAGGAAGCAGTAAAATCATTCACTTTTACCCCTAATTGATCCCAAAGAGAGATTTTTTTTTAACTTCAAAATCCTGAATTTGATGTGCAGGTTGATTTGATTTTAATTTGCTTTCTGGGTGACAGATCATGAATAGTTAATCAAATAAAAACACTGTGTCTTTAACCCTATTGGATCTTTCCCGAGAAATATCTGTCATATTGGAAGCCAATCATTGGTTAACTTCCTATTTAAATCATTTTTAATGAAGTCTTGTACTACTACTAAAGGAGTAGGCCATAAACCTTAAATACTTCAGGTTACTAGAGTTAGTAACTGTTGACTCTGATACGACAGTAAGAAAGTTTGTGCAGTTAGTTTTTCATAGTTTTTTTGTTTCTATCTAAGCCAATTTGTTTTTCCCTCCCTTGTTTTAGGACTTTTGTACCTATATGTTAAGACTGAAGCCACTTTGGGGCTCTATATAACAGAAACTGAATGTGAGAAATAATTTCTTTTTCCTGAAAATTGGAAGGCAGAGACTCTGATTCTTGGAGGGAGAGAGGGTACAATTACTTCTACAGCCGAATTTGTTAGAATTGGCCATACTCTTTTAAAATAGTAAAAACTTTAGGATTTTGCTTTTATTTAATCAGAACATGAAATTTCTCAACGTGATGAAAACTATGATTATGTAGGAAAATTATTTTCACAATTATTTTACCTCTTTTAAAGATATCCTGAGTAAGAACAGTCTAGTGGAAGGACTTCAGTTATACTTTTGATTTTTCAGTGTAGAAATATCCTTTCCTATTGTCGTGCTATGTGTAGGGATGAATTTTATTTTTGCACATTTTCTGCGATCTTATGATAGCTGTAGTCATAGACTTCGTGTCTCTTTCTTTCCCCTCTCTCCCTTTCTCTTCCTACATCTCTCTCTCCCTGCTCCATCCCTCTACATAATATCCACTTGTGATGCAGTTCTGGTGCAATGGACCAGGACGTGGACTTGGCCACAGAGGATGGAGGTTTGAGTTTTGCTCTGCCATATGTAAGCTTTGAGAACGTTGACCAATTACTTAACTTCTCAGGACCTCAGTCCATCTATAAAGCAAAGGAAATAATCATTGTGGTTGCAAAAGATTAAATGAAATAATGCATGTGAAGGAACACATATTAACACCGACACCCTATTGAAAATTTTTTTTATTGGGGTACAATATACATAAAGTTGATCATGTCAACCATTTTAAGTGTATAGTTCAGTAGCATTAAGTGCATTCATAATGTTGTGCAACCATCATACTATTTCCAGAAGTTTTTCATCATTTTAAACAGAAACTCTGTGCTCATTAAATAGTAACTCTCTGTTTTCCCCTCTTCCAGCTCTTGGTAACCACCTTTCTACTTTCTGTCTCTAGGAATTTGACTGCTCTAGGTACCTCATATAAATGGACTCATGTAATATTTATCCTTTTGTGTCTGGCTTACTTCCTTTAGCATAATGTCTTCAAGGTTCATCCGTCTTGTAGCGTGTGTCAGAATTTCATTCCTTTTTAAGGCTGAATAATATTCCACTGTATGTTTATATCACATTTTGTTGATCCATTCATCCATTAATAGGCATTTGGATTGTTTCCACCTTTTGGCTGTTGAGAATAATGCTGCTGTGAACATTGTTGTGTGAGTGTCTGTTTGAGTCCCTGTTTTCAGTTCTTTTGGGTGTATATCCAAAAGCGGAGTTGCTGGATCATAAGGTACTTCTTTGTTTAACTTTTTGAGTGACATTCTATTTTAAAATATTTTTTTGAATCTGTTGAATGGACCGTAGCAATGAGATTCCTAAATGGTGTGTTTGTTCATAGTGGTCTTTTAATTCCCATAGTTTACCTCATATGAGTCAGGACAGCAAGGCCACCTTACATTTCAGGACTGCAGGAATACCTTGCCATGGTGGCAAGCTCTCTCACCCATGGTCCTCAGAAACGCATTTGCCGTACAGTTAGAGATCATTGAGGGTGAAGATTTGCTCTTCTGGTGCCCAGATATGTTGGTTAAATTATAGATGAATCAATGAATATTATATTTTCTGCTTTGGGCCTTTCTTTAGGGACTAAGGAGACTGAAGAAGGCTGAAGACAGGCTGATGGGCTCGGTTGGTAGACTCCACTGTCTCACCATGACCGCCGAAAACACAGCGCCAGGAGACCTGGCTCTCACCCCTCTCGTCACTTGCAAACTCTGCCTGTGTGAACAGTCTCTGGACAAGATGACCACACTCCAGGAATGCCGGTGCATCTTTTGCACAGCTGTAAGTTTTCCTTGATGCTTTCATCATGAGACAGTACAAAGGGAAGGACTGTACAAGTACAGGGTACATTTCTATGCCTGACTTGAGAAGCCAGAGTGTGCTACCATATGATCCTGCTTTGGAGAATGATGCCACGTTTGGATCTGATTCTAAATACTATTTTGAATGGTAAATCTGATACTTACTGGGTTTTAGGCAAAGTGTAACTAACATGTGTGTGAAATTTAATTATTGGTTGGATAAGCAGTATCTTTCTGTTCTTAAGTTCTAGCTAAGGAACAAAATAGAGACATTTTTAACATGCCTTAGTTAACTGCCATCTGCAAGAAGTATTTTTTTGGGGGGTAGGTAATTAGGTTTATTTATTTCTTTATTTCTGGAGGAGGTACTGGAGATTGAACCCAGGACCTTGTGTATGCTAGGCATGCACTCTACCACTGAGCTATACCCTCCCCCTGCAAAAAGTGTTTTGAATGATGGAGAATCAGGTAGCAATTTACTGAATTTTCTTTCATATACTTGCTCATCTCCTACAAAGCACATGGTATACAACTGTTTTACTTTGTCATATTTATTTTTTTCTCCTGTATTTTCAAAGCATGCTGAATGCTGCTTCTTCCTTATAATAAAGAGAACCCTATAGATCTCCAGGGATGGGCTTGTCTCTTTTAGTTTGACACTTGGTACCAATGCGCATGACCTTGATCGTGTGTTTTCCTGAAGGTTGGTTGATTAAAGTGTAAAGATGGGAAGCAGGCTGATGGGTTGAAAGGGACTACTGAAGTGTGAACCCAGGTGGTCTTGTCCAGATTTTCATTTATTCAAACATTTTTCGAGCTCCTGCTGTGTGCTAGACACTGCTGAATGTTAGGAATATAAAGATGAATAAGATGCTTCCCACAAGGAAGATGGACACATTGAAGGAACTATACAAGAGTCTGGTGAAACCAGGGATGGCCAGACATAGCGTACCCCAGGGGTGTCTCCCCCACTTTGGACCGAGCTTCCTGGTGGCAGTGCTTTCTGAGCTGAGGCTTTAAACAAGAGATTTCACACTGATGCCCGTGGGCCACATCTGGCCTCGACACATTTTTGTTTACAGCCCCAATTGGGAAATTTCAAATGACAAATTTTATGAATTTTTCATGGAAAAAATGAAAAAATAGTAAGATACAGCTCCTCTGGGCCTGTATTCATTGGCCCAGAAATAGATGTTCTTTCTTCTGTTTAGGATACCTACCTCTCTCCTCCTGTATGTGTTTGAATCAACTATACTTTTAAACTAAGGATGGATTAAGAGTCAGCCAGGAAGAGTGCTGGGCATCTCAGCATGGTAGAAGGGAGAGCCTGGTGCCTAAATTATAATATTCACCATTGATCTTTCCTTTGGTAGGCCTTGTATGGGCAGACTGTTAATACTTATTATATAAGAAGTACAATAATCACCAGACAAATGTGGGTTTAATACTCTGACTTGTGAAGGAAATTGAACAGTTTAGTTACAATGATTAGTGCTTAAATCGGGGGAGTAAGGAGAAAGGGATCATTAAGGAAATACTAGAATCATTTATAAAAAAGGCATTTTACTAAGCATACTTAAAAAAAACAGATAAATTAAGGTGACATAAATTTTACTCCATCTCTTTTTCCTATGGTAATTTAATTGGCACGACACATTTTCAAACTAGTTATATTAATTTTCTTAACTTTTCCGATCGAGGATTAGGGCATGGAGAAGCTTCGGAATAATTTTTAGGTAAAAAGGAAAGCAACTAAAATCCTTTAATGTTTTGAACCATGGGATCCAAAGATGGCAAAGAATAGTATCCTTTATTCATTCATTCAGCAGATACCTGGTGAGCAGCATCTGTGTCCCAGGAATTGTTCTAGGCACTGGGATTTATCAGTTAAAGAAACAGAACCCAGCAGAGCAGGGTGGGTATAGCTCAGTGGTAGAGTGCATGCCTAGCATGCACGAGATCCTGGGTTCAATCCCCAGCACCTCCATTAAAAATTAAATAAAACCTAATTACCCACCCCCCAACAAAATTTAAAAATATAAATAGACATTAAAAAAACAGCAGATTCTTGCTCTTAGGGACTTATATTCTATCAAAGGGGTTAACATGATAAACAATAAGCATAATAAATAGATAAATTACATAGTAGTGGGTAATAGGGACTTAGAAAAAGTAGAGCAGGAGGTTAGAAGTGTGGGACGAGGATGTTGTGATGGTCCGGTGGACAGGAGGAGGCTTCACCAAGTGATGTTTGTGCTGGTTCTTCCGCATCTTGTCGGCCTGTGTTACTTTACAGGAAGTGAGGAAATGGCCTTGTCATCACGGGGTTGGCTTCAGTTTCCTTTGGTCTTGCTTTCTTTCTGAGTGCTGTGCTTCCGAATTACTTTCTCCAACTTTCTCACGTTGGTTTCGGACCCTTGCTAATCCTTGAAACAAATGAGTCAGAAGCAGCACTTGGATAAAGCCAGGATGGAAATTTTTGGCTGAGGGTTACTGACGTTCAAAAGCAGGATATGGAATTCACTTTGTGCAATGAGATCTCAAGGTGCAGAATTCAAATTTGTGTGGCAGCGTTGGGTAAAAAGTACACACTTGAGCAAAGGCTGTGTTAAGGAGTCGACACTGCCAATTATTGTTTCAGCAGTCTCAGTGCCCAACTAAAAATGCAGCTGTTTCTCATGTCTCCTTCAGCAGTTTGAGGGGAGGAGTTAGTACAATCAGATTATTCTGTCATCTGGATTCATACTTCCTCATAGTTGGGGAGTACTCAAAAGCAGAAGGTGAAATGCCTGGGTAGTTTTGGTTTCCCTACCACTTGGGAACTTTCCATAGCTATAAACTGTAACTTTCCCCTGGCTTCCCAAATACCCCATTTCCTGTGATCTGCCAAAATAAGTAAGCTGTATGTGTTTGATTACATTAGCGTCTATACATTTGCAATTGATATCAGCCTCACCTGAAATACTATTCTAACTTTTCTTGTTAGAGCTCTTATTTCTTCTTTTAAAAAAATTATTTAAAAATGTGTCTAATCTCCCTAGGTTTTGATTTGCATTCAATTAAAGATATCAAAAGTGTTTCTGTTTTCAAGGCTGAAAAGAAATCTGTGACATTTTAAAATATACCATATACTACTAATATCCAATTTTTCTGCTGCATTTACTTTTATTAATGTTAGTACTTTAATGACATCAAGATAGCATTAGAAGTGAAGTTTAATTTTCAATGTTAATTTTATTTTCTTTTAGCATACGCAGTATCAAATCTGTGTGATATATGGAATATTAAAGAGCAGAAGCTTTCAATCAAATTTTTCTTCTAAGATATTTAAAAATCAAATTCATAATGCACTATTCTTTATTAAATCCTAATTTCCAGTTTTAAATATGATTGGCTGATGTCTTGCAGTTACTGGCTGGGAATGACTTCTTGCATATACCATATAGTTAAAATGGTTTTGCTAAGATAGTTCCCCCTCCCCTCCCTTATTAGGGGAATGTTCCAGTGTAATGGTTCTCCTGCTAGATGTGGTGCTAAACTTGTATATTTTCATCAGTTTAGTAGAGCTTTTTATACTTTCTATCCTTGTCCTGTTCTTCCTAAGAAAACAGTGTGATCTGTGTGCTTGGGGACAGTGAAATGGTTAGATGGGGAGTGTCTGACTTGACCTTTGGATGTTAGCCGGCTCAGACCTGGCCTTGAAGTAGGTGCTTCCCAAAACAAGTTGGTTCCATGAACCTCTAGGTCTGTGAAACAGAGATGATCTTTGAATAAAGTGTCCCATAGTCAAATTAGCTTGGAAACTGGTATGTTTTCTACTCCTCTATTGCACTTTAGAAACTCTGTGAAATCTTGTGGTTACAAAGAAAGCAAAGCGACTTGTTTAACTTTGATGAAGATTTCCATCTGACCAGTGCCACCTTTTTTTAGGGCAATACCTATTAACTTCCCCACAACCAGTGCTTAAAAGAATGCTGCCTTAATTTATTCCATGAAGTTAATTCTTGATTTAAATGACATCCAGAGAAAGGAATGTGACAGATGTTGCTTCAAATAATCTATCAGTATATCTAGTTTCTTATTAAAGAAAGCTTACTGTGTTGTTTGTGAAGATGATTTCTGTTTGACTCTTTGCTCAGATTTAACTTAGAGAAAAAAGTAGTATGAAACAAGGGAAACTAAATGTACAGGACAAAAATGGGTGTGGCTTTCACCAGCGTGACATAAATCTTTAGGTGTATCATGGAGCCAAAGAAGTTGGTATTGTGGGGTTTATTATGTGTTCTTGTACTTGAAAGTTAAGTATCTCGGGGGTGTTAGTCTACTAACTAATAATATAGAAAAAGCCTCCCTCTCTCCAGTGGATTTAAATAATGCAAATGTGAAAATTCAAATTTTCCTTTTCTGGCTTTTGCAACACACTCTTTCAGATAATATCATACCAGTATAAGTGAAGAAAAAATTCACAACAATTTAATTATCAAAAGAGGGAAAATTTGTGGGTTTCTCCCTTGTGAGCAGTATTTGCCTCTTGATTTATTTTGGAAGCTATTTCTGTCAGCCACAAATTAAGGAATAATGAAAACACAGTTGTTGCTTGTTTTTATAACCTAGATAATTTCACCTGAAAAGAGTTGGTATGTTGGGCATGGCCTATTTACCACTCAGATTAAAGACAGGATGTGCTCAGGAAGAAGAAAATAAAGTCCAGCCATATTCTTGCCTTTTTTCCATTACGTTTTGTTGGCTCTAAGTAGTTAGAACTCCTTTTACTATTCATTTCTCTGAGCCAAATGGATTTTCCAATGTTTAAAAAAGTGAGAGGAAATATAAAGCTTTTTCGACCAAGCCCGTGTTTTCCTTGGGGCCTGCTGGGTGACCTTTAAGAAAAGCTCATATATGGCCCAGGAGACATTTACAGTTTGGGAAGATTTTCAGCGTATGTGCTTGAACGTGTGTGTACGCTTCTGAGTATGTACA